TATACCATTTTTTATTGTTAGTAACTCGTAATTCGCTAGGATTTAATGTAATCCAGAGAGACCTGATTACAAGATTGCGTGCAGCGTGGCACCGCTTTGGTTCAAGGATAGAGAACATGGCGTCCCAATAAAACCAATGTCATTTACATCAATATAAATATAATTATTATATCAATATAATAGGTTGTTGGTTATGCGTTAGGAGTTAGGGTTAGGGTTAGAATTAGGCGTTAGGTTGAGGCCACATGGTTTACTGGGACCCATGTTCTTCTATCCTTGGGGCCAGCTTTGCTGTGGATCCTGAGCGCTGCACCGCGGATGAGACGCGCGCAGTTCCGCGGGATATGCGCACGCGACCGCGGGGATGTTAAAGTCACAGGCACTTGAGCGTTTCATCTGTAACTCACACCGCCGCCGCATTGTTGCTGCGCTCACTGACACAAATATATATATGTTCAAGTATGAAGCGCTGTCCGCAGTGGAGACGTGCGCCAATTCGAGGCCCGGCGCACGTCTCCACAGCGGTCAGCGGCATGGTCTGTAGTTTAGAAGTAACAATGAAGACTTTGTTCTAAATAAGAACTATCGGCGGGCTTAAATAAGAGCGCAATACCTTTTCAATTTTGTTGACTAGTCAGTCAAAGGCTTGTTGGGGGTCCATATATGCAGAGCTTCCAATTGAAATGGCCCCATGAAATTGTCAAGTGGAATTGTGTTTTTCGGAACCCCAAAGAAATGTCTCACTCTTACATGCACCCTCCCTGATCAATCACGCATTCAGGCGTAACATAACAGAGATGAAATTGTGTCGAGTTTATGGCTCTTGACGCAGCGTGCATTGACGTACAAGACTGTTGAAAGCACAGGCCACTTGGAACGTTTCAATAAAAATAAATATTCATGCACAATTTTTTAGCAGATGATCCACCGCCCCCCCCCCCCCCTCTTTGTAACCTAATAATTCTGAAACCAACAGATAGATTCGCATTTCTGGTGATTAATGTTTAAAGTAATAAATAAATCGCAATTTTAGACACAGAGGTGTAAATATCAAACACAAACACACGTAAATGTAAAGGTAATGTTACAAAAGTAAATATATTTATAACAAGTAAATGTGTAAGTAACAAAAAGATACAGAACTCGTATATAACAACGAGAACTGTAAATAACCAACAAGAACAAGTCTGAAGGTGACCGCAAGATCGTATGCTGTGCAGAGTACAATGACACAAAAATTTCTTATGCGAGTAAAAACAGTGTTGTTTATTTAGGGATTTTGGTCCGCTCAATCGAAAACGATTTTCCATGACACGCGCCGTCACTACGCAACTTTTTGATCAAACTGCATGCAGCGCCCCCTTCCCACACTCAGGATATACCACTGCCACAATGCTAGCACTATTTTTACAGTGGGCGGAGCTCTGGGGAAATCCAGCAAATGGCAAGCCAACGGCCGAAGTCGCCGCCTAACAAAACATTAGAAATTTCTATGATTTGCATGTTTGTTGGTGGACAAATTTAGATGTTTTAAGCTGTATACGCAAAAATGTATCAAAGACAATGTTCGAGAATTAAGTATATTGGCAAGCATCCCGAAAATTCATGATAAATACGTGAACTTACTTTAGTAAACAGCGTAATGATTTGAAAGTAGTAAATGGGCGCACTATTTGGTATCACTATTTTATCAAATTTCTCATGAAATAATAGTCCGACTTTTATTATCTTTGCAGCTTTTATAAGTAAACACCGTATTACATAGGACAGGAGTAACGGGGTCGCTGTAAAACTTATAGTAAAAAAGCGTAAGAAATTCTTACGGAAATCAGCTTGTGGCAGTGGTAGAATTGAGCCAGAGCGAGAGCGCCATCTGTCGTGGAGTTTGCTTTTTGATAAAATGCTCTTCCAAAAATGTAATGGCGTCGTTCAAATTTCGTTGCGTTGATGTATAATTAATTATAACTTAATTAAATTAGGTATCTGGTAACAAGTATGTGTGGGTATAGACGATGTGTTATACAGTAAGTACAGTTGTATGCAGTAAAATCCTAGAGTAAACTATCCCTTTAAAAGTAATAAATTAATTTCAAACTTAGTGAACTGATTCGTTATTCTGTAAATTAATTTAAAACTTATAATTTCAATTGTTAGGGTGATGAAGCAAGATTTGAACATTTGTGAGTTTACGGTTTATGTAACATGTTCTCAATTAAATTGCAAGTTAGTAAATTGGTTTGTTGTTTTGAAAATAAATTGTACTTTTAGAAAATTTATTTTTACAATGATGTGAAGGAATTTGTATATCAGGCAATTATTTTGCAAGTTAATAAATTGATTTGTTATTCTGTGAATTGATTTTAAATTTTGAATTTAAATTTCTCTAACAATATAAAATAATTTGTATTTTTGTTAATTAATTTGAAATGTTTTAAATTGATTTTAAATTGTGTATTTGAAATGTTTGAAAATGATTATTTTTGAAGGGGATGTTTTTCCATATTTGTGCTTCACACTACATGGCTCCTATGACATGAAACAGTCATAGAGCCAGGTCGGGTTAAGTTTAAGCTTACTCTGTGACCCACCTTTACAGTGGCGTATCTAGAGAGGGTTGAGGGGGTTGCAACCCCCCTCCTCCCAGTTCAGCCACTGACTAATGTTATGATACTAGTAGAATTGCTGTGATGTGTGTGTGTTTTGATTGCCTCTACCTGAGACTTATTTACTTCTGATAGTGACTTTACATTTAACAAATTATTGGTTGCTCAACTAATAGTTATATAATCTTGGTCAGACGTTGCTGCATAATATGCTCTGTAGACTTGTACATTTTTTTTTACTTAATAAGTAACTTAATATACTCTCAAATGGCTAGAGCTTCATTGCTCCTTAATTTTTCTCTTCCTAATTTCACCGTTTCCTCAATCCTTCATGTTCGCTGCCGGCGTGGCGTAGGTAGTAACGTTTGCTTGTCTCGCTGGGCGGCGCAGTTGCAGGCCGAGCCGGAGGAGCCGTGTTCGCTGAAGCTCGTGTTCCGTGACCCGGACGTCTTCCTCCACCGCAACATCTCCGAGCGGCTGCTGCGCACCGTCTGCGACAAGGGTCTGTTGGACGACCGCATGCTGACGCTGTTTGACGCCGCGCACACGACGCTGCGCGCCGCCTGCGTCGACGCCTCTCCCGTGACCGCGGCCGGCGGGCTGCGCGTGCTGCGCGGACACAGGATCGCGCGGCTCGACGCTCGCGCCACGGCCGTGCCCGTCGCTGACCTCGTCGCCTGCCTCGGCACGTGGTCGCACGCAAACCTGCAGTGCCTCAACCTGAACGGCAGCGCGGCGATCGACGACACACGCTCGCTCGCCGCCATCGCCTCGCTGCGCCATCTGTCGGCGCTGAACGTAAGCGATACGGAACTCGGCGATCGCGGGTTGGAAACGATCGTCGGCGGGTTGCCGCGCCTTGAGAGCATCGACTTGTCCGGCACGAAGGTGTGTACGTAGTGACGTGGACAGCTTGTAGTAAACGAGCGTGCGTGTGTGGTAGTGCAGGGATCGAAATTGTTCAATTTGCGTCACATTGCAATGTTAGTCAGGAATATATATTCTATTGCAGCCGATGAGTTTTAATGTGTTTAGCTAAAATTGCTCAATTTGCATTACAAAGGCATTGAAACTTTACTCAAAAGACACTGGGAGCGTTTGAGGTTTTTACTTTCTAGGCTTTGGTGTGACCAGAAAGTCGAGGGTACCACTGCAAGTTGACGTTGCCACTGCTGCATTGTGCTGCTTAGCAACAAAACAATGTAAATAATCGCATGTTTCGCGTTGCTAGGTGTGCAGCATCGCTCCTCTGCTGCGCTGCGCCGACCGTCTGCGCTCTCTGTCGCTCTACAATGTGTCGCTGTCGCACGGCGTCCGCGCCGACGACGTCCTGCGTCAGCTGCGGGAGCTGCGGCACCTCGACGTATCCGAGCACGTGTCGGCCGTGCATCCGCTCGTCCCGCCGCCCGCGAAGCAGCGCGTGCAGGGCCTGCTAGAGGAGCCGCACAGCCTGCCACACCTGCAGAGCCTCGATCTGTCCGGCAACGACGACATCAACGACGACACGCTCCGGTACGTCTTACACACGTTAAAATACATTGATCACACATTAAAACCAGGATTTTGAAAATAATTTCCAACCAGTCTCGTGTTTTCCTCACTTTTCCGCTACTTATTGTTATTGCTTGAGTAAAAGTGTTAATTGTTTTAACGATAACACTGCGATGATTTAGTCACAGGGGCGGCGAATCGTTAATAATTTTAACGGGAGTGCATAAAAATTTTAATCAAGTTGTTTTTATTCAATCCTGATTTCAATAATAGCATCGTGATGGTTTGGTCACATGGATGGAAAAACGATTTCCTAGCAGTCAATAGTTAATAATTTTAAAAATTACATTGTAATAATTCAGAACTTTACATTTTGACTTTGGCTAACATGAATCATGAATGTGGTCAAAACCATGGTAAAACATTTTTCTCGTATAATACTTTAGACTTAACGTTAATCTGTCAAAATCAGAGATTGAAACAATGGGTAAACTCGTATAATAACAATACCATTGGTAGCACTTTACAATGCCTTGCAATTTGTAATCATGTACATGCAGAATACAGTTGTAAATTGGTTTGTTTTATTTTCAATAGGGAATTCGTCATCAATCACAAAAACCTCAGATTTCTTGGTCTGATGCTTACAAATTCCTGTTTCAAGGAATTTCTCACTGACCCAAATGATGTTACCTACAATCGCCAACTTGTGGTATGTATTTTCTTTGCTGTCCAAACACCTAGTCTTCGAATTTAGCCGGGCATCTGATGCCCGAGACATGTAGAAATCTCAGTGGGCATGTAATCATTGCAAGCTTACTTGCCTGACGAGTTCCTGCTTTAAAACCACATAAATTATAATGAAACTGGCCATTAACTAAAGGTTTTTAATTTAAAATCACGAAATGTTACCACCAGAAACAAATGGCGGGCATCTAGAATTGGTGCACACTTCTTCACTTCTTTACTTGCTATTCCAAAAATATTCCTGTAAAATATATGGGCAACTAGAACATGTAGAATGTCATTCAGGCATACGTGTACATTTTACAGAATACTTGCCCGAATAGAAGGGTAAGTGGCTCAAAAGGTTTTTTGTGAAGACTGAACATCTGCTATTTTCTAAGACAGGGAATGTGCGGGATTTGTGCCTAGGTGTCCAGTTAATTAATTAAAATAAATAGCAAGATATGTAATAGAAATGTTAATTAATATATGTCAGTGCAATAGAATTATTAGTTTATGTGTGAGACCCTGTTTAATATTTAAAATCGACAAATTATAATTTACATCTACACTGATATCCTACATGTAATACTGAGAAGTTATGAATCTTCATACACAAACTAATTCTTTCCTGATTGATACATGCAGGTAGCCGGCGAGGCTTCAGAAAGGCAACTACTGGAAGCATTGAGACGATACAAAGTCAGGCCCATGTATGCACAGAAGGGCTTGTACAATCTGTTTAGCCTCACTCGTGAACTCACGGAAGAGTTCAAGCGACCTAGACTTGACATTATACAGGTGAGCGATTTCTTTCTTTCTTCATTTATTTATTTATTTATTTATTTGATGGTAATACATTGGTAAAAAATAACAGCGAGAGCTTGCAAGCTCCTCGCCTTCAGTGCAGTCAAAAATCCTATTCAGCCTTTGCAATGTTTATCTCGAACCAAAAATGCTACCTTACCATCAGTGAATGTTTAAAAAAATAAACTATAATGAAACTGATGAATGTCGTTAGAGTGGGAAGACCGTCTTGATGTTGAACTCTTGATGAACTCATCACCTCTTAACCCTTGCTTAAGTTGGTGCTACCGGTCATGGCGAGCCACCCACAGCAGCTAGGAGTGCAGATGGCTGCTACCGCCTGTCTCTATAACCTTACAAAGGGAGACATGGGTATGAAGGTGCATCCTCGCTGGCTGAAGCAAGTAGTCGAACTCACAATGAAAGCAATGGAGAATTTTGCAAACCACCAACAGGTAGCAGCACCGTACATTTGATGATTAGGTATACAGTTAAAGGGAGAGTTTACTCTAGGTTCTAGGGTTATTTTCAGCTAATTTAGGTTATAGTTACGCTGCATAAAAAGTTTCATGGTTCAATCACCATTAGATATATTATTAAAAAATGTTTTAAAACTAACGACTACAGTTTGATTACAACGACGGTGGCGCCACTCAAAGCGCACGATCTGATAAGTTGCGCAAAACCACTTTCCAGCCAAGGGCTACACATCGAGGGTGTTTCTTCTTTATTCATTTAAAAGCAAAAGGATTGTAATATCTTATAAACGACATATAATAGTTTCAGTTATAATATGGATAAATTTGCTCTAAAATGAATATCGTTTGGTTAAAAAGCATTTAGGTATAAATATAATTGCACTTTTGTGATTAGCCCTCGGTCTGTAATCTGCAAAATAAATTGTCAAATACGCAACTTTTTCGGGGTGGCAGCACGGTCGCGGGTGTCATGGCGCCGTTCAAATTTCGTAGCGTTGATGTGTAAATAATTATAACAATTAAATTAGGTATCTGGTAACAAATACGTGTGGGTATAGACGATTTGTTATACAGTAAGTACGGTTGTATGCAGTAAGATCCTAGAGGCTACTGTCCCTTTAAGCCCGCCTATCGAGGTCACTCAAGTTAAATCCTAAAAGTGTCCTTTCTAGACAGGTGTCTGTTCTATAGAGGTGGTTATACTCTATAACTGCCAATTCAAGGAAGGTGCCAAATGTCCTTAATAGGCAGGCATCTGTTCTATAGAGCTGTCAGCTAACAGGATTCACTATCAAGTTTGCTGTCGTGGATCAGTTTGTAAGACAGGTGAACAAAATTGCTTTTTATGTCAGCTATTATATTGTGGTAAAAATCCATGTATGGATTACAATTACATACGTGGTGGCCACTCGTCTAGTATTAAGTCACACGTCTCGTGAAAGATGTCACATTCCACTTTTCGCTCCTGCTCTCAGTTGGTTATCATTAGCGTGCATGTTTCTCAGTGTGTTTTGTTACAGGAGAATGCTTATTAACGTGTGTTATTCGTCATGCAGAACAATGGTTTGTTAGCATGTGTTCTTCATAATGCAGAAGAATCGTTCGTTCGCATGTGTTATTCATAATGCAGAAGAATCGTTCGTTAGCGTGTGTTCTTCATCATGCAGATGAATTGTTCGTTAGCATGTGTTCTTCATAATGCAGAAGAATCGTTCGTTAGCGTTTGTTCTTCATAATGCAGAAGAATCGTTCGTTAGCGTGTGTTCTTCATCATGCAGATGAATTGTTCGTTAGCGTGTGTTCTTCCTCATGCAAGAAGAATGGTACGATAGTGCGTGTTATTCATTTTATAATATAGAATAATCGTTTGTCAGCATGGATTACTCTTCGTGTTTAGCTGCAGAAGAACTCGCTGCTGACACTATGCAGTGACCGCATCCTTCAGGACGTCTCGTTTGACAAGTTCTGCTGCGCGCGGCTCGTCATGGAGTGTCTGTGCCATTTTGACGACGCGTCTGTGCATCGCATGGCTGTCGCCATTTGCTCGATTCTTGCTGCTAAGGTATTTAATTCGTTAGTATAAGTAATTAGAATCGACACATTTGAACGCCGCGTGGTCGTCGCAATTTGCGCAGTACTCGCCTCTGAGGTAATTAGTTTGTTAGATTAGGTAATTAAGGTCGTGGATTTGCCGTGCCACTATACTTGTGTTTTTTTCTGCCTACTGTATGACCCTCACGTTTGCTCGAATGAGCTTGATACTCGCTGCTAGTGATGAGCTGCCTTTGTAGGGTAACTAGCACTGATAGCATGTTAATAAGTGTTACTTGCTCCTTGCCTATGTGCAGTGTGTCATTAGTGTATCACGCAGTGAAAAAAATACACGGGGGCTCGGGGCGATTTAGCCCCCGAAATGCCAAAAAGAGCCCCGGAAATGCCAAAAAGAGCCCACGTAAATTTGTATAGAGTTCAATGCAAACCAAATTTTAGAGTGCTATTTTCATGCACGCGAGCTTGAAAAGTAGCCCCCGAAAAATACATTTTATTTTTTCCCCTGGTATCACGAGATTAGTTTGATCAGTATCAGCATCATACTGATCGAACGCTAAGGGAGAGTTGTGTTATTTGGTTTCTGATCAATAAATCTTGACGATGTCTACTTCAGGTTTACAATTTTGTCGCTATTTCTTTGTAGATTTCAACATCTCAGACGTCAATGCTGGGCTCAAGTCCTCGCTACATGAGAAAGCTTCTCTCCATAGTTAAGCAGAAAACAGAAGAGTGTTCCAAGGATGTCACAATGACCTTTACACTCAGTGCCCTCTGGAATCTGACAGGTCAACTATATTTCTACTAACATGCACAATGTTTAGTAAGCAATGTCCACTCAAAAAACAATCTCTATAAAATATTTTATTTTTGTTCGCTGTTATTCCGTCATCATATATTTATATAGCTTCTTGACCTTCTACTTACTATTGTTTACTGACATGTGTATATTTGTATTCACAAAATTTGTTTACAAATTTGCAATGTCAAATTACTGCACATGTAACAGTTTAATATGGGTTGGCTGTGACTGCACGCCTCTTCTAGTTTTAAGGCGAGAACTTAATATCGTGTGCATTGCAGATGAGTCACCGGGTACCTGCAAAGTAGTTTTGGAAGAAGATGGACTGAACCTGTTCATGAACGTTCTTCGGGTTCGTATGATCACTAGTAATGATCACTTGTAGTGAGAGTGGAATTCTGAACTATAGCAACAAGTGGTGGAATGTATTTAGCTGGTGTAACACGGTATGTCTCTATGAGATGCAGATCCCCTGCCACTATCTCCATGTGTGTTCGGCAACCTTATCACTCGATGCCATTGAGCTGTGAAGTTAGTGATTAACTTGCTTGCGTACTGGTGGTGTGACTTGTATGTAACTTGTAAGGAGTGATTTGTACAGTCGTGCTGAGCTCATGTTTGGTATCTTTGTCATCATCAACATGCTTTATACAGTAAACATATCCCATTAAATAAGTTCATTCGGTTGGTAGATAATAAATCTATCTTGGTTAATTTTTACTCAACCGTGTTGATTCAAAACGTACTGCTGACGTTTCGCCTCTTATCAGGAGGCTTTCTCAAAGCTGACTGAAGTTCCAGTTTTGACCACCAGATGGTGTAGTGGTGAACAGCTTGGTCCACACGTGACTGAGTCTGTATCCCTTACCGTATCTTACACAACTGTACATTACAGACCTGTGTCTACAAGATACCGTGTGCAATGTGTGGAAAAAGTTATATTGGAGAAACCGGCCGCAAATTTGAAACCCACCTTAAAGAACTTAAAAAGAACGTAGACACCGTAGCTCCCAAATCTTTCACAAGGGCCCTACGAAAACAGTCGGCTACCGAAATAACCAAATCCGCAATCACGGACCACGTAGCGACCGCCAATCACACCATCAATTGGGATAATTCGAAGATTATCGTTCGCAAGCCAATCAAAATTAGGCGCTGGATTAAGGAAGCCATCTGGATCCGTGACGAGGGGGATACACACTCAGTCACGTGTGGACCAAGCTGTTGACCACTACACCATCTGGTGGTCAAAACTGATAACTTCAGTCAGCTTAAAGAAAGCTTCCTGATAGGAGGCGAAACGTCAGCAGTACGTTTTGAATCAACACGGTTAAGTAAAAATTAACCAAGATAGATATAGTAAACGTATCTTCCTGCTTTTGTTCAACAATTAGCTATATAGTGTACTGTTGTTTTCACAGACATTCTCTAAGGAAAAGGCAGTGGAAACAAAAGTTCTAGGTTTGGTGGTGAGTGAAATACAGTACTGACCATAGTCATATATGTTAGGACAACGTTTATTATACCTAGATTCTTTCAAAAAAAAAATGCAATTGCAATTTCGATTTCGATAGTTAAGTTTTGTTTAGGTGGCTAACACTTTTTTTAGATGACTTTATTATACTGTTTCAGAGCAATCTAGCTGAGGTGAAAGAACTCAGAAAAGACTTGATGAGAGATGACTTTATGGGTTTTATCAGGTATGATACCAATTTCAAGTCTACATTGATGCAATTGAAAATGAATTAACAAAATACCCCGATTTTACTCGCCCTGATTTAACGCGAATTCAGATATAACACGACACGATATGACACGAGTCATTGGACCTTTTCTTGCTTATTCCGGAACTGAAAAGTTTTTTGGCGAGTTAAGCCGATCTTAGGTCAGATTGTAATTGAATGTGACGCGACGCGACGCATTGCAACTCACTGCACAGGTCAACATTGGGTTAGTTTATACACTGATTTTCTTGAACCCCGATTTAGCGCGACCCCGCTTTTTTCGTGATGACATTTTATGGACCTCAACGATCGCGTTATAACGGAGCGTATGCACTGTATGTACCGTTCACAAGAATGCAATCTACTTGTACATGACAACCGCAGCAGAATCTACCAACACAATGCAATCTACTTGTACATGGCAACCGTCGCAGAAGCTACTGAGTGCATACGCTGGTTATAAACCGGCGTTACATTGACATGCCCTCGCATGATTCCTGACGTTTTTTCTTCTTCATTGCACTTTCAGTGACTTGCTGCTCTCCGAGCACATCGACGTCAGCTACTTTGCAGCAGGCATCTTAGGACACATGATCAGTGACGGTGCGGAGTCCTGGACGCTCTCTCTGCCGCTACAGGAGGTGCTCGATCGACTGGTACGAGAGTCGCATATCTTTCCAGAGTTGAATCGTTACTTGTCGTTCATGGTTGTGTCATATTTTTGCTACACGCTTGTGAAGTGTATTCTTCGATAGGGCATGGCTTCTCACTATTAAAAAGTCGTGTTGTCATTATTATATTGGGGAGGCAAGCCTGTCAAAGACTTGACCCATCTGCCTGGCATGAATGACATGCAGCTCTAGCTAATAATTATTGTTATATGATGTTCTAAACAACAATGCTTAGCAACAAAGTGACGCAAGTCGACAAGTTGGCGTGCATGCATGAAAATAACGTAGAAACTCGTCTGGCTAGACTGACCTAGCAACAGTATCTAAGCGACCTGGTTATCAGACTAAGACGGACAGCTAAATTGCACGGCTGGTTTAGTTTGAAGTGTGATCGATGTTGTTTTCCATTTCAGGGTGAGCGTGTGTGTGGGTGGAAAAATCCACAGGGCGAAATGGTTGCGTATAGGTGAGTATGTATGCATAGTCGTTAGTACATAGTAGTACGATGTCCTGTTCTGATGTTGTGGCGATGGTTGATGGGTGGTGATTGACCTCAAGGTAAATGGTGGTGATCTACCTCATTTCAATTTAGGCAGATAAAGTCACACACGTGGAACATGTGTAATATGTTTGCCAATAGTCTAATGGCACTTTGCTACCACGCCTACCAGTATTATAGAATTAAATAAAATAACCTAATGTTACAACGTCAATCACACAATGCTGACACTACATGCTTATAAATTATTCTCTTGGTACATGATGTCATAGTTGATTATAATTGTGACAACATTCTGAAGGATTATATGCATAATTGTGAACATATGCAAACATGAATAATACATTATTTATTATATAGACAAAATATTTTGCTTAGTGTATTTACATCTTCATAGAGCCTTTTAATATTACACGGAATGACATGAAGTTTGTAATGTTAAATATGTGGAAATACTTGAAGATCTATCCGTCATGCATTTTGTAAAGAATCATCAAGGTAAATAAGTCGTGACATGGTGAGATTGCCTGCGACAATCTAGATTTTAACAGCTTTGATCTATTTCAGGTCGTTTAAACCATTCTTCAGACTGCTGGGAGTGGACATCCCCTGGCAGCTACATCTGTGGGCCGTATGGGCCATATACCATGTCTGTTCGAAAAACCGTGAGTATTTGACTGAAAGCTATTATTCATGATCGTGTTTAGAAACAAACATGTCAGCTCATATGATTTGTAAGTGTTATTACTGTGAATGTCTATCATGAGAAACCAGGGTGTGCTATGAATGTGAGGAGCGAGCGGGCAGAGGATGTCACCCGCGGCCGTTAGCATGACAATCATAATTACAACCACCATTACAATTACATCTACAATTACTACAGCTACAGACTGTGTGTGACTGAGTCTCTCTCTATCTTTCTCTCTCTCTCTCTCTCGTCCGTTCTTTTCTCTCTCAACCTCTGCGTTTCTTCTCTCTCCTCATGTCCTCTCTCCTCCCTCTCGTCTTGCTCTCTCCTCTCTCCTCTCTGCTCTCTCTATCTCTAATTCTCTCTCCCTTGCTCGCTTTCTCCATCTTTCTGCTTTCTCTCACTGCACGTGGCGAGCCCCTCTCACCAGCCCCCTTGTCTCGTGCGACCCCTCCTCGCTCCGTCGCTCTCTCTCTCCTCTCTCTCTCTCGTCTTATCTCACCTTCGCCCTTTCTATTCCCTCTTCTCTCACTCACCAGCTTGTCCGCCCTCTCTCCTCTGCGTGCTCCTTTTCTCTTGCTCACTCTCTCTTCGCTTTCTTCTAACTCTCGTCTCTCTTCTCTCTTCTCGTCTCGCTCTGCCACCATCTGTCTCTTCTCCTTTCTCTGCCTCCTCCCTCCTTTCCTATATTGCTGCTTCTCTCTCTCTCACGCATCTGGGGTGTTTGCAGCTGAGCGCTTACACTGCTTGTAGTGTTGAGAGTGAGGGTGGGTCCGGCGCAAGTGCCACAGGACGTCGCCGCCCGTCGGCGTGGCCAACGCATCCCTTTCGTCCGACGGACAAGCGTCTCCAAGATCGCTGCTCTGCTCGAGGCGGCGAAATTTTTTTTCCTGAAACGCGTATAACATAGCGAAGAATTAGCGCGCACTTCTGATTGGCTTCTTTCGATTGCCTTTGGCGCTTTGACAAGAGAAGCCGAACGCCCATTTGTAACATGTTTGTTATTGGGTTTATCAGCCCGCTATAAGATAAGGTACGTTTTATCTGATTATTTTCGCATGAAAAACATGATCTTTCCGCCTCAATTAAATATATACATATAATTATCCACTATAATTGCACTCTTTCTGCCATAGTGTTATTTTCAATCTCAATCTTAAGTTGAAGAGGTCTGGGCATTCTCGTAATCTTACATACCGTACGCATGTCACACTGCCCGCTCGTAGTGCTGATCGTCGCAGCGATCGAGGAATGAGCGAATGGCTACGACAGTACTGTACGAGCTACGACACCCGAACGGTAACTTATCAGTACTAAGGGCTACGCCACAGTACTATAGAGCTATACGTACTCGTACTCGTTGACGCTAGTATATCCTAGTATTACTAATAGTACGTAGTAGTCGTAGATGTAGTACCTAGTGTTTAACCCTGAGGTCAGGGCAAATCGTAAACTAAGTCCGCGACCACTGGCACGAACATGAAACAGAACCGGCAGCTATGAACTAGCTAAGCCTAAAACCCTCTCCATACACTTAATTAAGATTAAGATCGAGAATAACACATTATGTCAAAAGCAATTGCAATTATAGTCAATATTATATCGTTATAATAATGCGTAAAATATGTGTCTTCTCATGGAAAACTAGCATCAGAAAACATTTAGCTTCAATCTGCGTCATAAACCAAAACGAAACATTTAGCGCAATGAGGGGGTAGAGAACAATGGGTCCGCAATAAACCACCAATGTGCCTAACCCTAAACCGCCTGAGTACCTCTAATTCTAACCTGAAACCCTAAACCTATCACCCTAAACGGCCTAAACAATAACCCTAACCATATACCCTAACCTATATAATTGATATACATATTATATTTATATTGAATCGTAAATTACAGTTGGTTATATTGGGACCCCATGTTCTCCTATCCTTGAACGCAACATTTACCAAACGCGTGCCGTGTCTTGTTTCTCTGTGTCTTGAAGGGTTTCTTCAGTCAAAGCAACAGCAATGTCAGTCAATGAAACGCGCATGTTACTCTTGGTTACAATTCCTATTCCATAACCATGTTGTTTTGAATAAGAAAACATACTAGAATACTACTTTACACCTAACTTAGCAGAAAGTTCGGGCAAAAAAGTTTTTGGTAAATCATTGTGGGTTTTTGGCTACAAGTCATGGAGGTGACATCATTGGCAAATTCCCAGCGCAATTCATGAAGGCGCTTAAATCCTTCTCTATGTTATCCCGTTTTGCGGAAAAAAGAATTTCTGCAGGCGGGACCCCGCCCGCTACACGTCCTCGAGCGCGCAGCAGGCCGCCGAGACGGCCGCGCCGAGACGCCCGCCGAGCCCCGTCAGCGTGTGACGTCGCCGCGGCAACCGTCGACGTGGACAGGACGCCTCGACGGAATTTCCTCGCTGTGGCGGCGATCGTTACGAGAGCTGTTGCTGCGGCGGGTGTTGCTACGGCAAGCGGTCGCTACTGTAGCCGTTGCTCACGGAAGCGTCGCTGGACGCTGGCAACGGTCACGGGTCAGTGGCTGTTGTCGCGCTGAGGAGGATTATCAGTCGACTATCCCACGACGCGTGCGCGTGTGTCGCCGCCGGGGTGCGCGATGAGTGGCGTCTAATCCCTCGCATGTGATAAGTGTAGCCTGTGTGATGCATGATGTTATGAAGCAACTGTCGATGCAGTTGTCATGTTGATGCTCGCGAGATTCTATGTGACGATTGAAGCATGGATCATGAAAAGAGAGACGAGGAATCATTTGGGTTTATAGATATACTAGTGGGATTGTTATATATAACAGTAATATATATATAATACATATATATATATATATTATATAATATCGATGTAGTTATATAAAGACAAACTTAGTCTTAACAAAGTAACAAAGTCTTAACAAAGTCTTAACAAAGTTAACAAAGACTTTGTCTTTATTAACTCCTGATAATATATACATATATAGGTATGTATATATATATTACTACATATTATGTATCAGATATATATATATATATATATATATATATCTAATCATACATAGCGTGTGCGTGTGTGCTTGTGTGTGATGTAGAAGTTCACTTCACTTATGCTGTAAAGATTGATGTTCATTCTGCATATAGTAAACAGAAAAGAGTTTTGCTGTGTAAAGGGATGTAAACAAAAATAGACCAATAAGACTGGTCAACTCGTCATATAGCTGTGGCTTGTATTATGTGTAGATAGGTGCTGCAATTAAAGGCAAACTGTGTACAAATTTTATATAGGAATGGCAGGTAAATATTTGTCAAGATGGTGATGATCTTTCAACACACGGTGTGCAAGCTCGAATAGGAAACTAACTGGTTTTTATTCTTTTTTTGAAAAGAGCATAATATCGACTTTATTTCTGCCGTCTGGTGACGTTCTGTTCATCTCGTGTTTCTCAACGTTTCAGAAATGATAGAAAGCTGTAGCTGGTTAGGACCATGTCTGTGTTGAATGCAAAAGGCTGTAATTTTAGCTTCTTTAAAAAAAAATCAAGTTCATACAAAACGATTAAACCTTCATAGTGCCTCGAACCTTTCCCTTTTATCGCTAGATTGTCAACAGTCAGTAGCTTGGAATTTCACCGTGGTAAGGGTAGATTCTTATATTATTTATTTACCAGATATGAGAGCATAGATATATATATTGCATTGTATATTGTATTGAGTTAGCCGGACACTAAAAGTGGACTGGCAGTCTACTTCTGCGAGCATGGCAAAGATAATAAAGAACGAGCGACACCAGTGTGCAAAGATTGCTACTAGGACGTATCACGCGGATGTTGCATCTGTGCCGTTTTTGCTGTTGTTTGTAATCTGCGAACTGATAGTCACGTGACGGCTTTTTAATGGGTCCAATTACCTGCACTGTGAACTTACTCATTACGAAAATTAGAAGCCGATTCCTCTTGTCTCTGTTGTAAGTGCATTAATTGCAACATTTTGTTGAGGTAGAAGCAGTAATCCCACGCGGTAAGACAGTCACTGTCGCGAAAACCACAGCAGCAGTGTCGCCGAGGCCCTAATCTGGCCACCAGACGCCAGAAAAGAGAAATATCATTGCTGCAGTTGGCTGATCAAATGGTGCGAATTGGAGCTATATGTAGAAGGAGAGCGGTAAAATTATAACGGGTTTGTGCGTGTTTGTATGGGCGCTGGCACGAGCTAAAGTTCTGCGAAAGAAAACGTCTATGTATCGTTGTATGTTTGGATGCCTCGGGGATAGTGATACTGTGGTTTTTGGAAATCAGCAAGCACACAGTAGTGATGTCCCGGTGATCCACTATAATCGATAATCGATTGTGTGCGGCAACCAATTACTTATTCGATTATGTAAACGCTAATCGATCATCAAAAAAAAAACTGTACTTATGATCACCTCTCATAATAACCATGTGCCATGTAATAAAAGTGAGAATGAAAAAGGAATGTACATGTTGCCTGCACTCTCCTTCGTGACTCGTGATCGCGAAAAGAGCGGCAAATCCTACATGCCTATGAAATAGTACGAGCTAGTACCACCAGGTGGCTGACCATCCATTCCATGGTTAACTGTGTGTGTTTGTCTGTGTGCGTGCATCCGTTCGTGCATGTGTGTGTGTGTGTGTGTGTGTGTGTGTGTGTGTGTGTGTGTGTGTGTGTGTGTGTGTGTGTGTCAGTTCTAGGACATTTGCCTCTGAAACAATTGCCCTCCCCTGGACAACTACCCCATCCCAGTTATCCCCTAGCCTAGACAAACACCTCCGTGTCATTTACCCCCTGGACAATAACCCGCTGCCATTATTGATGATGGTTTTATTAGCTCAGCTGACGAAGTCAGATGCAGCTTGTAGAATCGCATGATTGTCCGTGCGTCCGTCCGGCCGTGCGTCTGTTCGTGCGTCCGTCAACAGTTGGGCACAAATCTTAACCGCTCGACGTACGGTCTTGATATTCGTGACGTCGGGGGGGATCGCGAAAAGGACTCGGAATGTCGAATTTGGGGGTCAAAGGTCAAGATGTGTCAATGGAGGGGGAATATTTCCCCTTTAACTTAAGGTATAGGAGGAAATACGCAATTGCGGCACAAATCTCAACGGCTTGACCTAGCTACGCTCTTAATATTCGATGTATAGTGTGATGGGGAGGAAACCCATCACCAGTGCGAAATTGGAGGTCACAGGTCAAAGGGCAGTGGGGGAAAGGTCAGATATCAGACATTTTCTTGTTTCAAAATTTGTTTGTTTCAGCACTTACCTACCGTTTTTATCACTTTATTGAAAGAACCATGAAATCTACTTTCCGCTGACGTGCGAAGAGTAAGTGTCTGATAACCTTTTGACCCTCAAGAGGAGGGTTAAACATAGATTTGTTTACTGTTAACAAAGGACTGAACTGCTTTTGCTATTAGAGCCCCCTCCACCCGCCCCTACCCCTCTCCCCTCCCCCACCACCACCACTACGCTCGCGCTCGGCGCATATCCATGAATCCATGATAACATGTTAACAGGAGTAGATGAAGATACTCACCTTCATCTACTCCTGATGTTAATATAGCGAAATCATTAAAGTTACACGGCTGTATCTTTATTACTGTACTACCAGTAGGTATAGCAAAGCCTATCATAGATTTTAGATCTGTATTAGTAGTATCCTAGATATATGCTCGGAGCGCGAACGCGGTGGCTGGAGGGCGCACTAAATTCGGTTGCCAGTGAGTTTATCAGAAGAATACCTGGCTACAGTACACGTCAGTTGAGCGCTGTCGCTCTGCGGCACTTGTTCACTTATGAACCTCGTGTGAAAATTTAATTACATGGAAATTATATTTTAAACGAAAAATCTCAATTGCTTTTAGATTTTTTTGCTTGTATGTATTCCTCATGGTTTAGGAGTGATAATCTCAATCAACAAGGAAACAAGCCCGGTGGGGGCACTCACTCCACATTATGGTAGGTATGTGCCACTGCGAAGTCAAAAATGAGGGGCTCTGGAACTAACTCAGACCTGAAAATGGGGGGCTCTGGAACTAATGTTTGTTGAATATGGGATGCTCTGGGACTGGCTATGTTCGAAAATGTAAACTTGTGATGCTCTGGAACGAGATATTCTTAAAAATGCGATGCACTGGAACGGAAGTTTAGGGTGAAAAGGGGGGTCTCTCCTGCGGCACATACCTACCATGCAATGTATATGGAGTGGGGGGGGGAACAGGCTATACCTTCCTAACCATTCCACCTAAATCCTCCACTACAACCCACTCATCTACCCAACTCCCACATGCGCATCACTATGCCTCTCTTCTTCCCCTCCTCACTCTCTGCTACTCGTCAATTTTTATTTAAGAAGTAGTAAATTTGCCAATCGCAATTGTACTCCTCACTCATTTCCCATACCGCCGGTGATACTGTCTAAACCTTCACAATACTGTTAAACAGATTGTACAGTTACTCCGAAAGATGGGAAAATGATACACAATTCGTTGTAAAGTATCACAGATTCTTCACAAACTCCATCGGACTGTGGGATCAATCTCCTCCCCACTCACTCTTCTATTCATGAATTTGGACGTCATAAGTCATTTTCTCACTAGCTAGTACATTTCTCATCCCTCCTTGTCTTCCCGGTCTGCCTTATCCTTCCCCCATACAGTTATTCAGATTACACAAGCAATCCAAAAGATGGGAAAATGGTACAGAGTTCGCTGTAAGGCTCCAGTATAGAGGATTCTTTCCAAGCTCCACTGATCTGTGGAGTCACTGGGATGAAGAAGAAAAAGAATAAGAATAGTCTGTCCGTCAGTCCGTCGGTGCTTGTATACGTATTATCAGAAGTAGATAATAAGGATGGTTAATAAAAGGTTCCCTATATTATCTACTTCTGGTATTATGTATGGGTATACGTATCTTATACAGGTCGCTGGCGTTTCTTTCATCCTATTTATCTAAATGTAGCATCTTGAGTAGTGAGTAACGTCTAAACTGGCTTCTTTCTCGCGAGATCTCGGACACGTGACATCGGCGTGACACCGCTTGTTCGCTGGTCAGCCCACTCCATTTTCTCTCGTGTAATATGTTATGTTATGTTCTCGCACTTGTCCGTGTCCACTGCACTGCATATAGTGACAAGGTAGAGTGAATGTGCAAGGTTTCCTTCATTCTCTGTTATCGCCTACACGCGCCACGTTTACAGGTAAGATAATTCATAGAAGTTAATATAGAGTAATGATAAATTAAACGCATATTGCACTTGTGATGCTATAAATATTACTGTAATTATACACATATCTCAGTGATAAATGTGCTTTATAGAAAAGTAATTACGTGCTTTGAAAGCCAAGTAAATATGTCTGCGTGCGCTTTAGTACAGTCCTCATAATTGTTTTAACGCAGTGGATATTTAACCGTATACGGCAGAGTATGCACTATCGCTATTTTACCGTACAGTACTTCTGATTGGCTAGTATATTTATGTATGTGTATATATGTATATTAGTACGTATATTGTAAATATTATGATCAAACGGGGCTACAAATGTGTAGAAATAAATGGGATTTGAACCTAAATTTTTCTAGATAGCTAAACCTTATGGGATTCGAACGTAATGTTGATGACGGCATAAATATAGTAGCCAATCAAATGTGGTGTACGGTAAAATAGCGGAAGTGGATACTCTGCCGTACGGTTAAATATCCACTGCCTTGTTTTAAATCCCTTGCTAAACAACAAGCAGGAGCGAGTTCTGCGTATTTTCCTCTCACCATGTACTCCAGTTAATTTGCAAAAAATAGGTCACGTTTTAAAGAATGGCGAATCCATCCACTCGTTCATCTAACCACCCACTCGGCCACCCCTGGTATATATATATATATATATATTTATATAATATACATTACGTTTTGTTTGACCGCATCATCATTGTTTTACAGATCTCCATACTTTATACTTGGCCGCTTGTTTCTTATCGGAGGAGGAGCACCCGACTCCATGATATACCGAGCTTCACTTCGCTACGTCGATATGACCCAGGTCTTCAGTACTTTGTCAAGGCGTTATATGAAAGAAAACGAAGAAGGAGGAAGAAGGAGGAGGAAGAGGAGAAGATTGAGAAGGAGGAAGAAAGAAGAAAGGAAAGAAGACGACGAAGAAGAAAAAGAAGAAAGGCAAAAGTTGTGTAGGATAGCGCACGCTCCCGCAGAGAGTAAATATATCGCCTCACACTATTCCCCAAATGCAATCAGTGAGAGAGCGAGAGAGAAAAAGAGCGAGAGAATGGGCGAACGTGAGTGAGAGAATTAGGGCGAGAAAGCAAGAAAGAAGGAAATGGAGGGAGAGAGAGGACGAGAGCGAGTGAGAGAGAACGCACGAAGGAAAGAGAGTAAGGGAGAAAGCGCGAGAGAGCGAGCGAGAGAGAGAGAGAGGGGGGGGGATGGTGGTGTGCGCGCGAGAGAGAGAGGGGGGGGGCGAAAGCGAGTGAGAGAGACAGAGAGAGAGAGAGAGATAATAAATTTCGAGTCCATGTGTGATATACTCATTTGCGTCCGTGTTTAATGTATATAATTGTGTATTATAAGTTCAGGTGCATGGGTATAAGAGAGAGAGAGAGGGAGGACAAGAACGAGAGTTTGAGAGAGCTGATCGAGGACTATAGTGTGAAAGCGGGCGGGCGAGAGAGAGCAAGCGAGAGAAAACGGAAGCATGAGCGATCATAAATTTAATTTTTTTCATGTATTATATAATTAATTGTTTGCTTTCGTGTTTAACGTGTAAAAGATTGTGTATTTATCCACAAGTTCACGCGCATGCATATGAGTATATTGTCTCACGCTTTGGTTGTGCGCCTGTTTTCAATCTTGTGTATATTATTCAATTATTGGTATGTTTATATTTGTTATTACATTCTCGTATATATTATAGTCACGCGCATATAAAGTCCACGCGCATGCGCTTTCACGATTGAAATGTTTTCGAATAAAAACAGTATACTGTAACTAAACTCTGTGGTTTCTTGTCCGTGTATGTTCAATAAGCTAGTGCACGATAATCGTTTTCAAATCATCATAGTTTTCAGTAAAAGGTAATGTGCTAGGACACTACTTTGCCGTGGTGGGATTCGAAGCCGTATTTATGGAACGAAATCATTGGTCTAACTAACGCTCTACCCATTGGGCTAACGGGCGCCCCAATATAGAAAAACGATATGTACTTTATATACTGGAGAAATGGCAATTTAGACAATATATCAGCAAAGAAATTACTGAGATTCGAACCCCGGCTTCATAACTTGGAGTCTAGCAACTTTACCACTATGCTATCCACACAAGCTTAAGTTTCTTCGTGCAAGTGTCTGTATTATATTTACCTTTACAGTTAAGTTAGAAAATAGTTTAGAAAAGGAACAGCAGAGATTCGAACCACAGCTACATAGCTAGCAGGCCGGCCGTCTAACCACTAGCCTACTCAGACAAGCTTTAGGCTGCAAGAGGCCGCTCCATGACTCTACTCTTCCCACACGATCTCACACATCACACACACACGAGTTTCAGCGTGATCTAGAAGTTCGCGTAACGCGTTTCAGTTACCTATTCGGGTAGCAGTATTATGCAGCATGAGTTGTGCGCAATACTGCCATACAGGTGTGCGTTCGAATATAAATCACAGGGAACACATTCGCAGCGCGACATTTAGAATTAGGTGACGAGAAATTACTACACGTGATGAATTTATTACACCTGTCATTGTTACTAACGACAAGTGCTTTCTGCTTCGTTAACACTGCTTCGTTAAAACTTTCTGCTTCGTTACTGAGAATTCTGTTCCGGTATATTCTGATTCTGAGCGGGAGAGAGAGGGACTACACCGGTAGAGAAGCATGGATGCCCCTTCGCTCCCGTTACAGCACCCCCCCCCCAGTACCCCCCAAATTCACATCAAAACAAATTATCCCTACAGATCTCGGCACATGTAACGTGATAACATGCGTGATAACGTGTTCAAATTCGCCTCTTGTTTGTTATCCGATCCGGAGTCTGTCTGTGGTTGACGTGGAAATGTTGACTAACTCAAGTCACGGCTCCACTCCTACATGCTAGCAGTTCAGAGTCAGAGCTACGTCGTACGGTATCACGTAAATAGGTTATTACATCACAAGTATTACGTACGTGGAAGTATTGTTGTTGTTTTTGTTTACTATACGCACCTGTTGTTTGAGGTTAAGGAATATTTCCTAAGAACCTAGGACTGGTTTCGGTCCCTGATAAGTATTGGAACAACGTAACGTAACGTAACTCAGCGTAATGTAAACTTGAAACTCAGAAGTGGACATACCAGAAAAAGTTGAAATTTCCATTGCAGAGTATCGGCAAACGATACCCTATAAACCGATAGTGTACGTGCAATAGACAGCCGATCAATGCTGTTCAGGCTTGTAAGCTGTTGCTCATCTATATGTTGTGTAATCAACATGTTAGCGTCAAATTATGTTAATTCAGATGCAGAAGCTTATAGTGATATTCATAATCGCGTATTCTGAACACACTACTTCAATCCGTACTGTGTGTAGAGTGAGTATCCGCGGTTTGTACAATGGAACGAATGAACAAGAAACTGAATAACAACTGTTGTGCCTTTGCCCATATATTACAGCTGCATGATTATTGCACAGACTACAATTTTTTGCGATAAGTCCCACTGCAGTTGTAGTAAATTCATATATCATCTATTTATTACCAAGACTTCTGTAATGTTTTGACACTGTACAAACTTGCATTATAAAATATGTACACAACCAACTAAACTGTTCATAAAATCAATGTATTACTAGCCGAAATTATTCGAACACTAAAATATGAAACACCGTTATCCGGTTTATAACAATAAACGCTGGCAAGATAAAATGTCACCGAACGATCACACTCTCAACAATGCATCATCAACTCGCTTCTAAAATAGATTCTCTCCGATTCCTTCAATAATTTCCATTTCGAAATAGATGAAAGTTTGAAAAACGCAACTGCAGTCTTCGCAACATGCACACTAGCGCCCCCTGGTACACATTTAAGGTCGTGGTGAAGCTAGCACACGCGGGGCGGCATCTAATGCAAACGCCGCTCTCCGCGACACGCGAGGGCATCCTCAGCGAATAAATTAATCGGGGATTATAAAGCCACTCGCGCCAGGTGGATGGGTCGGGGCGAGGAGGGGAGAGGTAAGCAACCACCGAATGAGGATGCAGCAAAACACGCCGATAAGCGAGACGGAGTTGATGACCAGTATGTCTGTCGTACATCATCCATCCAACGACCTCATTGGGCTGCGGCGCGTCTGCGCCGTTTACGTGTATAAAACAGTAAGTTGCTGGCATCGTAGCGCATGATATAGATCTAGTGCTAGCTAACCTCGTCGGGGAAGGAGGGAGGGGGAGCAAACTTAATACTTTGTAACCACCATCAACACATCAGATCAACGTTCAATACGCGATCGTTAGCCTCGCGACGCAACACAATCGTCGTCCCACCGATCGTACGGCGTGAGATCGTAACAACGACGTCTGTGAAACACCTGAGCATCACCCGCGCGACACATCTAACAACGCCACGCATCGCAGAGCGACGCCGTCACGCATTTCGTCGTCCCCGTAACCCGAGCGCCGGTGAGAAAAACGGCGAATCCGCGGCTGGGCGCGAATCTCCGCGCGTGATCTCTGTGCGGGGTCGGCCGTCGGGGTCGGCCGTCTGTGCCTCATGCTTCACAACGAAGTCACATCTCCTGCTTTGGCTTCACGCGAGGATATAGCTGCAAAACGGGGAAAAAACAACAACGCGAACTGTGAGTGTGTGACCGCCGACCAAGTCCTCATGCTGCTATTCCCTCACGCTTGCCAATTTACACGTTTAAATGATAAATAAACATGAAAAACACAAAGTAAACAGCTAGCTGCCTATACGATTAACGGCGTGTGTTAACATGTGACAATTCTTCGTGATTATGTAAAGCGCCACTAGATGGCGTCGAGCGCGGGTGGCCATTTACTTACGCCGATCAGGTTTCGCGGCACGTATCCCTCGCGGTCCTTGTAGCGCGCCCACCACCACTCCTTCTCCAGCTCGTCTCCCTTGCGCAGCACGAACATCATGTCACCGTCCCTGAAGGTCACCTCGTCACTGTTCTGCGCCTTGTAGTCGAACACCGCATAGACTGCCCCGTTGTTCATCACCCCCAACTTCTCCTGAACACCTGCACAGAGAGAGAAAGGGAGGGCGTGTGATGCACCGATTCTTATTGCACCTCTATGTGGCTACATCGACTATAAGCTAATATTATCGAATCTATCCATCCTACCATCCATCCACCCACCGACCCATCCATCCATCCATCCATCCATCCATCCATCCATCCATCCATCCATCCATCCATCCATCCATCCATCCATCCATCCATCCATCCATCCATCCATCCATCCATCCATCCATCCATCCATCCATCCATCCATCCATCCATCCATCCATCCATCCATCCATCC